TTAATTACTTTAAATTTCTTCCTAAAAATTAGACGTGTATAATTATATATTTTCTAAAGTTTTAAACCTATTTTCCCTAATTTCTCCCAAGGCCCGCCATATCCTAAAACCATTTCCCCACCTCCCCAACTGGGCGTCTTGTTTGTCTCTAATTATATTTTAATTTGCGCAATCTGCCTGTTATTATTTCTGTGCACGGCAATTGCCTCCAAGTGTTTGCACTTCCCGGCGAACATTTTAATTGCAATTATGCCAGTACTACGTCGGCGAGGACAGTCCTCCAAGGAGTCTTCGTCCTTGCCGCAGGGCGTTTTGTTTGGCACGTAGCTCCCGTGGCAGAGCCCCTTCAATGGACACTAATTATTCCGGCCGGAGTTGGGCCGAGAAATTCGTGTCAAATCAAAAAGATTGCGTAGCCGCCCTTTTTGGGTAATTACATTTGGGGAATGGAAGGAAATTGAGCGAGTGCACAAATTTGGAATGTTAAACAGTCGCCCGACTTGGGGTCAGCTTAAAGAGAGAATGTCTTTGGGGATCTCAGGACCTTGGTGACCCTTTCGAGCAGTCCAACAATCGAGCTTGAGCAGTCGAATATTTTACATTTCCAATTTGCTGGGCCACAAGGAAAACAAGTCACGTACGGGCCAGCTCATTTCCTGTGCCATTTTGGGCCCGACAAAAGGTGTCAAACGGATGCAGGCAACGTGCCGCGTATGTCGAATGTCCTGCGAAGGACCTCGGAGTTCCTCACCTCACCAGATCCTGTTGCTGCTGCTGCTCGTGGCTTGTAATCAAAGGAAAGCCGCGCCCCAAATTCACCGAACTTTAAACGTTTCTTAATTGTTAAACTGCCGCTGGCCAACTCCCCAATCCCAATATTTTTTTGAGGGGGAACAGGACACCCTGAAGGACTGAAGACGATGGTCCACAATTAAGCCGAAGAAAAAACCGCCAAAAGACAAAAACAGCAATGAAAAAAAATGGAAGAAAAACAGCGGAAAGCTGCACTAGGAAAAATGTGTATAATAACGATGGGAAACAGTGAAAAATAAATTAGATTTTCAAACTAGCTAAATTATTTTTTAAAAATGAGTAATATTGTAAGTACATTCATTTAAATATTTTTAGACTGGTAGGCTTTATTTGTGGTCCTTTATAATGTTTTGTAACGCAGTTTTTTGAAAGATTAAAATTATTCTTAAGAAAAAGTGAAATCATTGATATAAAAAATGTTTTGTTTTGGTTGCAATAATCACACTTCCTTTTATTTGTAAACTAACTTTGCGATTTTTTTAAATTTAATTTTCAAGAACAGTTTTTAATTCTATAAAACATTTTTATTTCACATATTTTATCACATAAAAGTAAGAACTATATTTTTAGTTTCATTATTTTCAGTTTTCCAAATCTGTTTAATTGTTTTTATGGAATTTCATTAACTTGCCTCAGCTATGTCATAAGATTTTCAGTGTGGAAAATACTGCCAGCGACTGGGCGGCATGTTAATTAATTTGCCAGGACATCCGAGGTTGGGCGGTGGGCGGTGTGCGTGGGCGTGGCAGTGGCAGGGGCGGCTGCAGACCGCGTGTTTATTTTATGCCGTCGCGCTTAAGTGGTAAGCCCCATTAACAACTGCCTGTCGTTTGGCGGGGAAATAATGGCGTTAGATCATCATCGTCGCCCTGGCCAGAGCCAGAAAACAGAGCCAGAGAAATGAGGAGAAAAAACACAGTTGGGCGAAGGAACAGGACACTGGAGTCCTGCAGCCGTCTGTGCGTCATTTGAGCGCTGAAAGCTTTCAGCGTAAATTGTTGGAAATTAAGAAATGTTCGCCCCAGCCACCCACAGTTGTGTTTTCCTTGAGCTTCCTGCTCATATTTCATGGGTTCTGTTCTCTGTTGTTTTATAGCCGCCATTTGCTGCTCCGTTTTCCCGGTGTGTGTGTTTTTTTTTTTTGTATTTTTTATTCCTTCGGACGGGAGTTTTCATTGTTAATGTCCTGGCAACCGCAAATGGCGCCACCCATGTCCTGGGCAGCGGTGTTTTTCTTTAATTTAGTCGGCAAGACTGCTGCCCAGTGGCTTCCTTGTGGGCCGCTTACAATAATTAGATGTAACGGATATTGTAATTGGTGTTAAATTGCGTCAGAGGCCGTGTTAATGTTTGTCATGCTTGTGGTTTCTGTGGAGTCGGGGACATTTTCCTTTTTCCCTCCTTGGTTTTCACCCACCCACCGTCTTATTTGAGTGGGTGGGCTTTATTTGTTTTCCATGGCTGACTGCTTGTTTTATGGTTTATTTAACGACTGCCCTCCTTCGAGCACTTTACGCGACAATGTCTGCGAAGGAACTAAGTTTCCTAGCAGCCTCAACCTCTACCTGGCGTGAGTCCTGAGTCCTGGGAATCCTTTTTGCCTCAATTAGCATGACAATCGACACGGACAAGTTCTGGGGACGAGACAATGGTAGACAGGAAAGGTAAGAAGGGCTTTACTCAATGGCACAAGAACCAGTTTCCTGGTGGCAACATGACAGGATATGATTGAATTGAATATGCATGCGCATACCATACAAATTTGAATATGAGAATCAGGACCTTAAAAGAGCAATTCCAGCTTCCTTGGATTGCGTGTGAAAATATTTTTAAACTACTCTAGATCGCAGATACAATTATTTCTTTGAAACTAAATACGTACGGCTTGGGAAGTTTAACTTTAATATTAAAACAAGTATACCAAAGTAAAGATATCGTTAAAAAAAATTGTATTTCTAATAGCTAAACTTGTTTTTTTAAAGGCATCTATCAGCATCTATCAAAGTATAGAATAATAGTTAGAAGTTTTACCCCTTTTGCTATTAAAAATTATAAAAATGTTTTTTAGAAAATTGTAATTAATAAGTTCTATTGAAAACAACTGCTAGGGAGATTTTTCTTTTAAATGAATACTTAAATTAAAACTTACTTTGAAACATTTGCCATGTTTTTAAAATCTTTAATTTTCAGTAAGTATGAAATCCACCGACGGTCTAAGGTATTTTGTAAAATTCAATTTACAGCAGCACCCCAAGGAGCAAAGTTTCTGCTGGAAGGCGAGAAAATTCTGGGCATAAATCACACAGGATAATTTGCATAAGTTGGCAGGCCAAAGCGAAATCAGCAGCAGCTAAAAATGTTTATGGCCTTTTCGCTTGCCACGCCCCGTTTTTCATCTGGCCCCCGCCCCTTGGAAAATTCCCTAATCAAATTAGCAACAGTTAACCGGAAGTGCGAAAATCCGCAAGCTGCATTGTTTGCTGTGTGTTTATTTTTGGCTTTGTTGCAGTTTGGGATTTGTATTTGTGCGGTGCATTTATTTTGATTTGATTGTTGCCCTCACAGCGGGTCTTTCGCACTCGCAAAATTTGCATTTGTGGATAATTTTTGCATTTCGGATTTTGCATTCTGACATTTGCATTTGAATGTTCGCGTGCGTTGCATGAATCATTCATGTTCAAGTTTCTGATTCGGATTCCGATTCTGATTCTGCTGCGGCTGGTGATGATTCAAGTATCGATTTGCATTGATTTGCATTTCAATTGCAGTTTTTCGACACTTTACAATGGATTATGCTGCAGTGTGATTTATTTATGGCCAGCATTACATATCAAGTGATTTGGCTATTGTTGCTGCCAATAATGAGGCTTTGTTTGCCATTGTCAACATCTAACTGTGGCCCTTGATTATTGACACACATACTGATCCCTAGATAGCTATATTTTTAGTTTTTGATAGCGTTTTTTTTAAAGAACTTAAAGTGCTTTTACCGAATGCCATAAATCATGGCGGAAATTACAAAACAATATGCAGCAGCATTTTCTGCTACTGCTGCGGGTTGTCCTGTCGCTTGTTTTTCGTATATTCATTTTTTTCGCCCATCTCCTCTTATTTTTGTGTCCTGCAAAGTGAGTTGCCAGGACCGACATATTGCCCGAACTACAGAAGAATTCCAAACGCATCCGCGGGTTCGGTTCGCCAGCATACTCGCACAATTCCACTAACAAGTGAGCTGTGGAAAAAAAGGGAAATCAAGATGTAAGGTCCTCTTTGAGTAACAAGCAAGAACTACCCTGTAAAATATTTTAAAAATTCTGATTAATACAATAATAGATGCTACCTAAGCTATTAATGTTCATATCATAACACCAAATTTTGCAGATGAAATTGAAGTTCGTTTAAGTTCCTAAATATATATATCTACTGTATTTGAATAGTACTTATTATGTTGTTAGAAAATACCAAATAAAATAATATATTTTGCCATAGAAGTCGTGAAAATCTTTTTAAAGGGTATCTTTAAAATAAGCGAATCCCTCAAACGGACAGTAGCTGGGTAAACCTCGCCACAGCAGCAAATCCGTTGAATATTGGGTATGCAAATTAATTTTTTCCTACCTACGGACCCCTCCGCCACCCCTCGTTTTTTAAGGACACCCTGGATATTCTAGCGCCCTCATGTGATGTGATGCTGTGCCAGCATTTTGTTTCAGATCAGCGGTCGTCGTCGCTTCATGTCGGGAAAAAATTGTGGAAAAAAGAGGAAATATTCGAAAATAAAAAACCGACCGCAAAAGTTGAGCTGGCATTGCCATGATGTCTTTTATTTTTGCACCAAATGTGGGCACATTGTACCCAGAAATCAACTCTTTTGAATTTTTCTAGAGCGTTTTTTAAGTAACTCCTATTTAAAGTTTTATTTTTAATCAAAAGGCTTACTCGAAAGACAAATTTAATTATTCCAAAAATTCATTTTTTAAAAATTGTAGTGATTTAAAACATAATGGAATGCCCTAACTTGTTTGCTAAAGTGTTTACCAACTTTTAGTATTTTTTAAGTTTGTATAATTGGTTGTATTTTGGTCACAAGAGTTGTAAAAAATGCAGCCACACAATAAGAAGCTGTCAAACTAAAAACTTGACAAGTACAAGAAAATTGTACTTTGCTGAAAGGTAATCAGTCTTAACTTACTAAAATATCGAACTAGCGTTAAAACCATGAAGAGAGCCAAGACAGTAAGTGGAAACAGTTACACTACTCTTTAATAACTTAATCAACAAAATTCATTGGTAGACCCAGTGTTTGTCGTCCAAACGGAATGAATTCCATGATGTAGAAGAAGATGCGAGTTCTAGTTGTTATTCTGGGTCATATCAAGTCCAAGAAAGGCATTACCTCACCATCGAGGAAACCCCTAAGACGCCATATGAAAATGTGGACACAACGTCCGATTCGGATTCCAATGATTCAAGGGATGAGATACGAAAGGCACTTATGAATCTTGAGGATAAACAGAAAGAACAAAAAACCAAAGAGCCACAAGGCGAATCCCACCATACGAAGATGAACAAATGGTATTTGAAAGAATTTGAGGACCAAATGGGCCTCGAAATCGGAGGATCCGATGATTCAGGAGATGCGTATGATAGTAAAAGCGAAAAAACTATCAGCTCAGATTCCGAACGGATCAGCGATTCGGATGATTCCAACTCTGATGGTAGGTTTTTGTTATGCGTGTTGAAACCAATAACGAATATTATTTTCAGACTCCGGTTGGCTCGAAAGCATTAAGAATGTAAGTCTATGTTCTTTGGATAAAAGGTGGGATATATTTTTAGAGGACATTGTGTAAGCCCCAAAAAATTACATTTTTAATTTATTTCTTTAAGAACTGAAGATTCCGAACCAAAGCCCGAAGAACAATCGTTTTCAATGCCAGTTTTCCGTGGTCCCATGCCCTCGATGCCAATATATGATGAAGTAACCAAAAATTTTGAAATAGTCCAGACTCCCAAACAGCCAGAAATAATTCAAGAAGAAATGTAAGTTAAGAGTAGCAAATTAGACTTTTTTCCCAATTTTCATATATTAACCTTAGAGAAATGATAAAGCCAAATGAGTTGGATGAAACCCCACCGAATTTGGATGATATAAACATGAGCCCCATTGAGGAAGTGGAGAATTTTTTTTCTGACAGCGAATCAAGCTCCGAATTCGGCTTGAGTCTTAGTTTTTTGGAAAACGATACAGAGGTCGAAGATATACTGGAGCAATTAGATGACCCACCTCAAAGTAAACTAAGCTACTGGGAGGAGATGTCCGCGCTACCAGTTGACACAGGTGAAATTTCTCAAGAAGAACTTATTGCTATTTTAAATGAAGAGGAAAAGGAGAAGAATGCAGAAAGATCACAGAATTCCGCAGAACATCGAAGTGATTCCGAGCTAGAAGAAGTCACCAGAGATCAGACGTTGCATGACGGTTTGGATTTTTACGAAGATAGTTCTCAGCTGCCGGAGGGCAGGGAGAACTTCAGTTCGGTGGTCATCAAGGAGGATTCGGTTTTCGTGGACTATCAAGAGGCCATCAAGAAACTTGAGATACTGGTCCAAGCCGCTCCTAGTCATCTAAAATACGAGATCAACCTATTGATATATCCCTTGATGGTCCTGACTTATCTGCAAATGGTGGTCAGTGATAAGGTTCAGAAGGCGAGGGCGTTTATCCTTTTATATCAAGATGAATTTGATGACTCTTTTGCACCAAGACTGGTGAAACTTAGGGATATTAGCAGGCCTGAAGAAGTTCCGAATAAAGCAAGGAAACTGCTGGCTGGTCTCCAGAAAATTGAAATGGAAATGTCGGAAAGCGCTTATCGTAAGCTTCTTTTTGCTACAGAGGAATGGCCCAGAGGTCAGCAGGAGAAATTGTTAATCCACTTTCATATTCAAAGCTATAATGATGAGGAAAAGCCCCAGCAGCGTTTTGAGATAGGTAAACCTCTATTGGAACCAATATTTTATGGGGCGCCGGAACCCATGCATAAGAAAGATTTCACCCCTCGTCCTTTTCTTCAAAAACGTCGCAGGAAGAAGAACGAACCGCAGACTCATAAGAATCTTCACTTGCCCCCAGGCGACAAGATGCATAATCCCAATATCAAGAGAATGGATTTGCTGCATAGGAAGAACGATGAACAGAATCGAGTAAGATTGGATCGGGATAACCTGCCGTCGGCCTATCTTTATACAGTCCCTCCCTGTGATGAGGTGGTAATATGTGCCCACTTTTCGGACAGTATTAGCATGTTGGCTCTGGGAACTGTAGCCTCTGCCATTCACATTTTCTCTTTGAAACCCTCGAAATTGGTTCAACTGAAACCGGCAAGCTGGCTAAAAGGTCTGGATACCGGAATGGCTGGTGTTGATAAGGCTATGCTGGATCCCAACAGCAAATGTACCAAGCGAACTCTTTACGGTCATCAAGGACCTGTTTATGGCTGTTCCTTCAACCCGGAGGATCGCTTTTTGCTTAGTTGTTCGGAGGATTCCACCGTTCGTTTGTGGTGTCTTCTATCCTGGAGTTGTGTGGTCATATATCCTGGACATTTGGCACCAGTATGCCATGTGGTTTACGCACCAATGGGTTTTTATTTCGCCACCGCTTCGGATGATTGTACGGCCAGAATTTGGGTGCAGGATAATAGAAAACCAGCTCGTATACTCATAGGACATTTGGCCGAACTTGCGGTGTGCATATTCCACCCAAATCGTCATTACTTGGCCACTGGATCTGCTGATTCAACGGTTAGAATTTGGGATGTGATAAAAGCCTGTCAAGTGCGACTTTTCAGGGGTCATCGGGGCAGAATAACCGCCTTGACCTACTCCATTTGCGGTCGTTACTTGGTTTCTGGTGGAGATGACAAACTCATCATGGTTTGGGATACAGCCAACGAGACTTTGATTCGTTATCTAGAACATCACAAGTCGTCTATTAACACCATGAAGATCGCTTTGGATAACAACATATTGGTGGTGGGTGGACAGGATTGTCAGATGACCTATTGGGACTTTGAACGGCTGGTGAAGGAGTACCTGAATGGGACTAGGTCTTCAAGAAAACAGAACCAGGCTGAAAAACAAGATTCGAATGTTGAAGATTTGCTTCTAAACTCTTTTTCCAGCCAAGACGCTCCATTTTACAAGGTCCACTTCAGCCGTCGCAATCTTCTACTGGGCTTTTGTGCGACTCCCAAGGCATCAAAAAATAATATCCTCGATAATGATATTAAGCAACAACAGGCGGAGAAAAGTAAAGAATTCGACGATTGGCTGCATTTTCTGGACACGGTGAAGTTGAAGGCTTGCTTTGATCTCAAGGATAAAATACATTTAAGTACTGAACAGGCGGAGAAGGAAATGGATTCTCAAAAGAATAACTAAATAAAATTTCAAGAAATAACTATTTTATTAATATTATAAATATATGAGTTTTTTAACTCAAGATAGCAAGGTTTTATCTATTTTTTCTTCATCTTTTCTTTGGGATAGTACTTATTTAATACACTTTTTTCTCGTTACAGGGTTGTTCCTTGTTATTTATGAAAAATATTGGGGATAAACGCTTTGGATGACAAATATACATGATTTTCGTAAACAGAGACAAACCCCCAGGGCGAGGGAGAATGGTACAGTAACAACAATTTGACAGTTTTTTGAAAAAAACTGGTCAGGCCACGTGTACAGCTGCCCACAAACCGCTCCCCACTCCTCTATATAATATGAAAATCCACTCCTCCATCAGGAATTCACTCCTTGGTCTTCACATTTACAAAAGGCGTGCAAAATTTATAGAGGCACGCATTAAAAAATCCGCCAGGCACGCTCGACTAACTGCGTCCAAACGCCCACGGCGCTGGCAGTTGAGTCTCGAATTGGTCCCGGCCGACCGCAGTCCGCGAGTCCTTCGCAGTTCGTCCTACGTCCTGTGCCCCAATCCATGAAAAAAATCCCACCGCCCCCTGAAAAATAAGCGACAGGACAATATATTTACGCAACTTCTTATGCTTCTGCTGCCGGTGGTTGTTGTTCTTGCTGGGCTTCGAAAACAGAACTCAAGTGCTGTCGTTGTCCTTGCTGCCCCCTGCGCCACCCACTCGATGTCCTGCAAAGCACCCCCTCTTACCCCACCCCGCACGCCACTGCAGCATCTTGCGTCTCGTTTGTAGCAGTTATCTTGTGGGTCCTGCTGCGCGAAATGAAATTGTTTACTCCACTGTCATATGCACGTGAGCCAAGCGATGTGGCTGGCATATCCTTGGGGACACTGAGAAAAATACTCAATAAAATATTATTTATTAATTTTTTTAAAAAGACAATTTAATTAATTTAAAAGCTATGATACAAGGTCTTCCTAAAATGATGCACTGGCTTTCAAGTAAACAATATTGATTTATGAACAACCTTTTTTATAGAATTGCCAATCACTTTATTTTTATAAAAACTTTGAAGATGGAATTAACCGGAAATTGTTATTTCTAGCACATGAAAAACTATATTATAATTTTAAAAAATATATTTGTTAAACAGCTTTTATTTTTTTTAAATTTATTTTAAAAGCATTATCGATGAATTTATTCAAAATGTGTTATTTTCAACGCTTAAATTTACTTTCTCTTGTCTGTCACTAAAATGCCCGATTTTTTTTACCACAAAGTGATCTATAATATTTGAAAGTCTTTTTTCTCCGTGCATCCTTGCGGCATCGTCCTGGTGGGCTATCAAAAAATGAGAATTCTTTCGCTTCGTTTTCTTTTCCTTTGCTTTTTTGGGGGAAAATTCAACGTAATAATTCTTTTCCGCTTGGATAAGAAGCGCGGGTCTGGCGGAAGGTGAAGTACAGTCCGTTTCTGCCCCGTAATTGTGCGCAATTTCGCCTGGACATGTTTTCTGTTCGCTGCTCCTTCGACTCGGTTCTTATCTTCTTCCATATCCTTGGCCCAGCGCCATTTTCTTTTCGTGCCCACCCTTCCACACATGCCACACCCACATTTACACACATGTTTTATGTCCTCAAGGAATCGTCTTCAGCCTCCCCCTGCAGACGCCTTCTTTTATTTGCCCATTTTTCATGGGGCTTATTAAGGGACTACGAAAAAATAAACAGCACAGTCCATTTAACCGATTTCCTCGGCGAGGAGTGGCGAGAAAAGCCCCGAGCTGAGCAGAGCAGCGCATAAAATAAATATTTATAATCATAACAATGTCCTGGCGGGTTTCGAACCAATCTCAGTCTGATGATGAGCAAACAAATCGTAAATAAATATGAACTGAAGAAAGGATCTGAGTAAAAAATTATAATATTGAGATAATACGAACATCATAACAAATATATTATATCATAAATTGATTAGTGGTGATGTTGGATTACTGGGTTTTTTTCCAAACTTTAATATTTTTTGTATAATTTTTCGTTTGCAAAATATTATTCTTAACAATGGCTGCATATTTTTATGAAGTTCCATAAGTTTGAGAGCGAAAGCGTCCCCTTTGCACTCATTAAAGTTAAACCGCGTATTAGCAGGCCGTAAATACAGGATGTGTGTGAGTTTGGAGTCGGTACTTAAATATGATAAATGCCGCGTATTGTATTACAATTGGATTTAGGGCAGCGCCAAAGACAATAAATTAAAGGCGGACACACACCGATAATTTCAAGTATGTGCCGCCAAAAAGGCAGCGGTGCAAAAGCTGAGTGCCACAAACCCATAATTACAGAAGAGGACCCTCGATGTTAGCCAAATTTATACAAATTCCAACTCCAGTAGTTCGCTGGCTGCCTGGTGATTGGGGAGTGCTGCCAGTGGAACGTGTTTCCAGAGCAATTACCCCACGGACCGCACTCCGCATTATTATGGCCAACGTGGCCCCGCAATTATGTCGTCCAATTAATATCAACGCAGCGGGAGTCGAGAGCTGTTCGGCGTTCGAATGGAGTGGCCAGGAGCGGGGCTGGCTGCATTTTATGCATAAGCTATTTATGAAATTTATTGTCTTAAATGGCCAACGGTAGTCGCCGGACGAATCTTAATGTCCAGCCACTTGACGGGGGACCACCCGTGGCAGTATTTGCACTCGGCAAAAAAAGGATGCTCGAAGTACCTGCATAATTTATTGGATAGGTCGATGATATTATGGGCCATAAAAGGGTAGTAAAAGCATACGATCTTACAGTTACTAAAAAACGTTTTAAGTGTATTTTAAAGGAAATACACCTATTTTTCTAAGATGTGAGAACTTAAATGTATTTTAAGGACCTACGAATGAATACATATAGTTCAATTTTTCAAAGAAGTATTTCTAATAATTTTTCTGTCATTTGGGAAATTAAAAAATCTTTAATCTTTTAAATATTATCAAAACATGGAAAAGTATAAAAATATAGAAGAAATAAAAACACAAAGATTATGCCCCTTTTATATACTTTTTCAACTAACCATACACGTTACCTCCTTTTCTTGCAGTGCCTTACTCTTCCATATATGCAAAAGTTCCTTTTAGAGCACGAGCAGCTCAATCGATTTCGATTCGGCCTGATACTACGTACTTGGGATCCAAACATCCATCACGCTGCCAATATGGCAATATGCAATTGCAGCTCGCTTTCGATCTGCAAAAGGCTGGCAAGGTGTCCGCATAATTACGGCCAGCAGAAACTGCGGGCCAAATGCGGCTAAATTTATTATAATTTCCACACTTTCGGGCTATGGGCCAGAGGATCACGTTTACATTGATAGACGTGGCCCAAAAGGCAGCTGCGTTGTGAAAAGGCCTTTGGGTAAGGAGTGGAAGGACTTCGACTTCGACATCCACTTCGACCACGACATGTCCTGGCCATTTAATTAACAATAAAGTTGAAACTTTTATTACGCAAATGCGAGACGGGATTAAAGTTGCCCCGACTAGTTTTCGCCCGAATTGCTGGCAGGCGTTGTCGCAAATGTCCTGAACCTGCTCCTAGTTGCCCTCGTGAGTTTATTAAATTACGCATTCGGCTCGTTTCGCACACAATGAATCTGCAGCTGCAACTGCAACTGCAACTGCCTCTGCTGCATTCAACTTCAACCGCAGATCGGCAAAGGGATAAGCTATAGGCTAGGATATACTATAGACCTCGACTGCCTTTTGCGGCTTTTGTGGCGGCCACTTATCGCACATGACTGTCGCGACTCGTCCCGCCTAATTGAATTTGCCAGTCCCAAGTCTTAAGTCTTCAGTCCGAAGTGCATATTCACGTACTTCATCTTATTAACATGTTGCGGCGCACATTGTAATTCATATTTTTCGTATATAAAACCTTTCGAAATTACCCGTCGAGTGAAGGGCCCTCGGGTGTCAATGGCGACACGCTGATGGATTACAGGCCCATTACGCGGCCCCAGCTCGTACTTTTTGATGCCATTTTAATGAATTTAATGGCGGCGAGGATAAGGCTCCCTCTTACTTATCCTTTCTAAAAAGCGTTGAAAGGATCGCGATCGCTTTTCACAACGAAAGCTGCTTAACAAGATGCAAACTTGAAGTAAGATACCAAAATTATCGGTTGGGCAAACATAATTTGGCTTACGAGTATGTACTTTGAATAACAATTGGGTAAAAATAAATTGGTTATATATTCTGTATGCCTTCTGTAAAAAATGCATATCCCAAATGCATCACATCATCGTAAATTCAACAAAAGTGCTTCAAAAATATATATACAATTTTTGTAATTTTGTTATCCCGCACATAGTATTATTAACTATGGTATTAGCATTTGCATGTCAGTTAAGTACGTAAAAAAAAGTCATTAAAAAGAGTATCAAGTCATGAAAACTCCTCCTTCGAAAGCCCATGTTATGCCTATATAATTAGTTGTAATTTCAATTGAAGAAGATTCCCTGCAATTTTAATTGCATTTTCCTAGTCTCAAGAACGTGCAAACGAAACCCTCGTATTAAATTTCAATTAATATTTTCAGATGGCAAATGGGGCTATTAAAAATGATAGATTCTAGTTCTTAACCCGCTGTCAGTTTCGCATTATGAATGGCATACGGCCCACAGGCAATTATGCAGTGGCAGACAGTTTGAAAATGCATTTTGCATTAACTTAATTATTTTCCATTCCAGAACAGGTCCCCGTTTTATGCTCCGTTTATTACCGGGTCGCACGCACTTGTCGAGTCGCTTTCGGGTTCAGATAGTGGTCGGTGATAAGGCCCAGATCCCATATCCCAGATCCCAGGGTATCTCTACCGATAGCATTTGCCACAATGTTGTTGCACGCACATGTCAGCGCAAAAAGATATAGAGCCCGTTTCAGGTGGTAGCGCCTAGTTATGGGCGGGCTATCGCCCATCAAATATGTATGCAGTACCACGAGATATACGACCATAAATCATG